TCTACGCAAATATTGGAACTCAATTGTTATTAAATAATATGAAACGAATTATATTTGCAATATATATGTATACAGTGGTTCGTGAAAGTTTGTCAAAAGACATAGACAAGAAATAAAATACTCTAGAAGCCTGTATTGAAAGGATATTCGTTACCGAAAAAGGCGAACTATCTTTGAAGGAAAGATTCTTGAAAATACAGATGGTAAAAAGTGTAATTTTAGTAAAATTTTTCTTACACTACGAATTTTCCGAACGCTTAATATTCAGAAGAAGTTTTCTATGTATACTTATAAAACATTTTGAAACTTCATTAACATTATAACGAGGCATGATTACCACAATTATATTGGTAGAATTTAAAACCAATAGGAAAATGTATATAGAAGTTACAAGATATTTACTGCAAACAAACATACTTAATAAAAAATTAGTATACAGCACAATAACTATAAATATTTGTAGTAATATGTTATGTGCAATATTGAAAAGTTTATAAAATTTGTAAACCAATTCAAGGCCATCTTCATCATCAGTATAAAATAAAACTCTATTTATTTAGTATACAGCATTAATAAACTACTTATACATATAATAAGCGTAATAAATAATAGAAAATTGACTGTCTGAATACTTTACCAATATAATCATAATAATCATATTTCATTATAGTACTAATAAAATGTCAAAATGTTTCGTATAACATACATAATATATTCATAAAAGATTTCTATAAGTGTTCAAATACTTTCGTGAATTTTATATATTAAATAATTATTCCAAATCAATAGTTTATTTAATATTCGTGGGATTGTAGAATGCGCATTTACCAGCTACGTAATACTTTTCAAGGAAAAGCTGATTCAATTAAACATCTGAAAGTGCACATTTGCGTATTTCAAACATTTGTTTGTTCATACATTGAACAACATATATTGTTCTACCGCTCTAAGGTTGATGCATCTACCTTAGAAAATGTATACGTTCTCACCAATAATTGCTTAAGTAAAATTAGAAGTTTCTTCATTCTGTTTTTATATACAATAGCATATACGTACATATTGATACATATGTATACAAAGTCGAAGCCAAAGTTCCGTGTTGTCAATCCATTTTTAAGTTTCTAGTGTTATTTGCCATTTTGACATCGTGTGAAGTCGTGTCAGTGACACAGTGACACGTGTTATACAAAGTATGGCGTTAGGGTTAGGTAATATTTTTCGAAATTTTTCAATAGTTGCTCTAATTTCATTACCTATTCTCTTCATAAAATATTATTTCTACAAAATTTTTGCTTTAGACAGCAAGGTATTTACTCAAATTTATGTTTCTATATATGTTTCTAGATTTATTTAGATTGATCGTTTATTTGTTAACGTAGCATGTTCATAGTGAAAGTATATCTAACTTTATTTTAACATGATAAATATAATAACTAATCGTAATTATAGATAGTCATGCCGCAGTACTCACGGACTCTGACCGATCTAATCGTCCATCTAATTCGGATAATCTGAACGAAAGATCAGTAAGTATAATGTATTAAATGAAATTCGAAATAGAAGCATGCATCATTTAACGATTTTGTATGTATCAATGAATTTCAAGCTATATCCTTAATTTGTATATTGATGAAACAGATTATTTAAGATCTCAATCACAGATAGTGTAATGAACATGTGAGACTCGAGCATTTCATAATATTTGATTAAAACACTTGAGTTCTATGTATATTATCCTTGTACATAGCCCCCTTGTTTATCTTAAGTACGAATGATATGAAAGTGTGTAAAAAATAAAGAACAAGATATACAAGCACCTTTCTCAATTATGTGTTGGGATCAGTCTATATATTACTTCGGTTATCATTGCTTTATCATTAAAAGACATACGCAGAGATTTACTTTTATTTAAAGGTCAAATTGTTTTGTGTTATCATATACCTCATTTGAATTTGTTTTTTCTTCCTTTTAATATTGTTTCATTTAATATGATTTCATAATAATAATATTTCATAAGTATTCAGTTCATTAATTTTATAACACCCACTATGTAAAAACTAACGACATGAAAATCATTCAAGAGAGAGAAAGTAGAATATTATATAAAAATAATTTATAAGCAATCTATTCATATTTTGTGATCCATTTTTTAAGTCCACATTTGATTATTAATTCCATTCTTGATATTTTTCCATCAAAAGATTCTCTATAAGAGATGTTTTTATATATACACATTTGTGTAATTGAAAAACTGAGACTAGATCTAGATCTACTTTTTATAAAGTTTTAGTAATGCATGGTTGGTTGTCTACATAGTTTCCAGGTTTGCCAGTGATGTGTGGTTTTATTGAGTTTTATTCCATCATTCCATCCAGGCTTTTCCATTATATCACTGATTGGTCTCCCAAGGTGCAACACATTATTGCTTATGATGCTTAATTGTTTCAGTGGTATGGTTTTCTGGTTTTATATATATATATTTTTTATTTTCCTTCTTTTAAGAGAAATGCAAACTTACCAGTGTATCTTATATTGTATTACTCATAACATTGATCACATAAATTATATCATATGATTTATTGTGCTGCACCATCACATATCCTATGGTACATGCTAAAGTGCCTTAATATGTGTTGCTGGTATTTCACAGATTTTTATGTTTCACAAATGTATTTTTGGCTATGTGTTGTTATCATTACATACCATTTCTTTTTATTTTCGTTTAAATTCCATTATTTTATTACATTCACATATTAATGTGATACAACTATGAATAAATCACCAGTGACATTAACATGATCACACTGTTTTGTAATTTGCATTTTCTTTAATTTCTAATGAACAGGATACATAGGAATTGTTATTTTGTTTTAAAATATCTATGAATATGTAATACTTTTTACTTTGCACTTTAAAAGCAAACAAGACAATATTTATTTTCCTTAGATACCAGGAGGATGGACCATCACGTTAGCTTTAGCAGCTGTTACCTGCTGCTTAGGTTCAGCTGTACCAACAGGATTTAATATAGGAGTACTAAATAATGCAGCCCATGTGAGTGTCTCAACTTGTGTTTTATAGAAACTTGTAAGTATATTTATTTATTAAATATATTTATGTTAATTGTAGCTGGTGGATGCATTTTGTAATGAAAGTATTAGAGAAAGATATGGTATGGATGTATCCAAAAATGGCCTGAAAATAGTTTGGTCTAGTGTTGTCTCAATTTTTCTCATTGGAGGGGCAGCTGGTTCATTCCTCTCAAGCTGGGTAGCAGATAGATATGGAAGAAAAGGAGCGCTGTTTGTTGGAAACATATTTGGCATTATAGGAGCTGCAATGTTTTTTCTAATACGCAAATTAAATTCAATCGAAATTTTATTAGCAGGCAGATTAGTTGTTGGTAAGTTTTAGGATACCAAATTCAAAAATGTGAAATTATTTGTTACATGAAAATTTTATATCTTTCCAGGACTCTCTGGAGGTTTCGCAACAAGCATAGTACCAATGTACATGTCAGAAATTGCACCACTTAGACTAAGAGGTGCAGTTGGAGTAATATGTCAACTAGGAATTACATGTGGAGTATTTTTAGGGCAAATTGCAGGGCTTGATACAGTTCTAGGAACTGAAAATTCTTGGCATTATATGCTAGGAGCATTTGTTCCATTATGTATATATGCCTTGGTTTTTACAAGCATTATTTTACCAGAAAGTCCTAAATATCTATATATAATCAAGGAACAGAAGCAGAAAGCTTTGGATGGTTAGTAAAAACACTAGTGTTGTAGTAATTGGCATATTCACAATAATATTCAAGACTATTTTAATATTTCAGAACTCAGTAGAATACGTAAAATGGATATAATGTTACTAGAAGTGGAAATTTCTAGTCTACAGCAAGAAATAGAGACAAAAACAACAGCTGAACCTTGGACTATCAAGCGCATTTTTAAAGATCCAAGTCTAAGGCTACCTGTATTTTTAGTTTGTATAATACAATTCGGTCAACAGATGAGTGGTATAAACGTTGTATTTTACTATTCTAACTCCATATTTATCAATGCTGGACTTGGCATTACTGGAGCACAATATGCTACTCTTGGTACTGGCGTGGCTAACATTGGTATGGCTCTTGCTTCGGTACCAGTGATGTCAACTTTGAATAGGAGAGGTGTCCTCCTTACTAGTATATATTTGTGCTTAGGATGTTTGATAGTTTTATGTACTTCCATTTTATTAACTGTAAGTAAAATTATTTTGAATAGAATAATTTATATTAGAAGTTGAAAGTTTAACTTGTAAAATAATTATTTGTATCCTTACAGCATCTGTCATCGCATATGCCAATAATATGTACGATAGCCGTTCTGGCTTATGTAATATTTTATGGAATTGGTCTTGGACCAATACCATACTTCATTGGATCTGAATTATTCGACGTTGGTCCTAGACCAGCAGCTATGGCACTTGGTAGTGTTTTTAATTGGGGTGGAAATTTTATAGTAGGCATGACGTTCCCAACAATAGAGAGTATTATGGGACCATATACTTTTTTAATATTTGCCGTATTTCTTTTATTATTAGGACAAATTGTTAGGTATGTAGTAAAAAATCAAATTTATAAATGATGCAATTATTTGTAATTACTTACGATATATCCTGTAATAATATAATATTATTCTATATAGGATATACTTACCTGAGACTAGAGGAAAGAATACGATGGATATAGCAGCATTAATAAGTCAAGGATTTAACTCTAGACCAAATTCCATCCGTCATGGCTAAATTTAAAAACTGGTACTTTATATGGTCTAATACTTCTTTCTAGTGAATAGATAGGTTTACAATTTTTTCGTTGTAAGGTTTATGTAAATATCTAATTAATAAGGGTTATTTTTTTACAATTTAGATAAGAAATTTATTATACTTTTATTTTTTATTTTGTTAATACTATATTTATCTAAACATCTGTATCTAAATAATTACAAATTTTGAAATATTCGATTTATTAATATAATTACATCATTTAATTATTTTCGAATACATGAAACGATAAATTGTTAAATTTTACATTTGTTAACGAAAATTACAGTCAGATCACATTGACACTAAATTTCCAGTAAGCGAACCAATGTTTTTAAATATGTAACTGTTATTCAAGTATAAAACATTTCACTGCCTATGTAAGAAATTTTCTATGTAAGAAATTTTATTTTTTCGTTCTATAGCATACTTAATACAATAATTTAAAAATTATAAAATTCTTTGCTACGTATTTTACACATTTAAACAATTGTTAATTTTGTAATATGTTATATAATTGGTCTAATTTTTCATAAAATACTAAACAAAGCACTGTGTGCGGTGCTATTCTCATCCACGTTGGAACAATTCCTTTATATAAACCAGAGAGTCCTTCTGTTCGTAGTATTTTAATGATCGCGTCCAATAGTCCGTTATACAACGTACCTTTTCCGCCTACGTCCGTCTCTATGTTTAATTATAAAATTATCAGTCTTACAAATCTATCAACAAAAGTTACTTTCGAAATATTTTTATTAAATTACACTCACGTTGATTGTAGAGCCTTGTTGCTAAGACATCAAATGGTTGCATAGTGAGAGCTACACAACTTCCACCGATTATGGAAGCCAGAAAAGTCAGAAATATCGGTTGATCTGTAAACACCTTAAAAAGAAATATGAAATATTGTAATTTTCATTTATACTATTCTGAACGTGATATCTATTCAAATATTCACTTGTAATGAGCGTAACCAATCCGCAGCTAAACCGAAGGTAGTTAACTGCGTTGCGGATCCTACAAAAACACGTGGTATATTCGCATACCAGCCGCGATACAAAGCCACTATCCCACCTTCTTTCCAGAGAGATTTGAATGCACTCCAGGTTCCTGAATAATTATGCTGATAACCAACGGCTATGGTTTGTGCTGATTTCGCTTGTAATTGTGTTTTTACCTATTGCGATGAGAAAGACGAATGTAATATAAAATTGCTCATTGTTAATTAAAATACTGTAACGATGTGTCTTAATAAATTAACATATCAATTTTGATATAGATTACTCATGATATTATTGATACTTAAGGATCATCTTTCATACAAAATAATTAACAACGTATTAAAGAAGAATTACCATATAGAACGGACTACCAAGAACAGCTCCAACAGAACCAGAAGTTCCAGTTATTATAACAGTCTTTAAAATATCAGTATCCCCTTTATCATTAGTGATTAAATCATACTTTTTTGCTGTATTGTAGATGCCTAACCGTATTCCATTGAGCACGACTTGAAAATATAGGGCCGGTACGATACCGGCTTGTAAAGCAGTTATACCCTCGTGTTTTGCAATTAAATAACCCGCGTGTAAGGTGTTTTTATATATTTTCTTGTATGTGTTTCTTGCTTCTAGCTCTCCTTGTAATTGTAATCGTACTTTTATCACATCAATTGGGTTCGTAAAAAATCCAGCTCCTACCGCTGCTAATGCACCAATTGCAAACTCTATACCTGGACTAATAAAAGTTAACAATTAATAAGTATAATTATAGTTTTCTTACTATAACCTATTAACCCTTATTAACCCATTAAGGACCGAGAAATAGTTTATCGTAATATTATAGATATTTCAATATTTTTTAATTTCATAAAGTCGTTTAGATGAGAGATATGATGATGAATAAATATTTAACGAATGCTTGGAATTCCATTTTCTGGCTAAAATGTTAAAATACAAAATTTGATAATGTAAATTGGTTAAGAGATGACTGCGAATAAAATATTGGCCCTTAATAAACTAATTAAAATATAATTCATTTAAAATTTCGTGCGAAATATATTTATATAATTATACTTCAGCGGAAATAATATATAACGCTATTCAGCTTTAAGTTAATTCTTATTAGTTTTGAAGTATTTCACAGAATAACCATTGAGAGAATGTTTAACTAGATGTAAAAATGATGCAATAACGATATTTTTATAAATTTTATTATATTGCAGTATTATACGAAATGACTAATATGATGAATTACATGAATAATTGAAGTTTACGACAGTTCAAATAAGTACAATGAAAATATTAGTAATACTATTTCACTAATGCACACATCTTAGTAAATTATTAGTGAGAAAAATGCTCTTTATTTTCTAATCTAAGTTACAATAAACACTAAACAAATTCAATTAATTTCTAATATGGAGTTTTACTTGCAGTATCAACGTGGCTAACATTCACATCAAAAAAGGTCCCAGTTACAAAATTAGAAATAATTCTATTTAAATAGAATAACAATTATTAGTACTAAAAATTCTTACCAAAGTAAATGTTACATTACATTCATTGAACCAAACAATAAAACACTGAATGAAAAACTGTCAAATCAATGAAATAGTTAAGTCATCACTGACCAAGGAATCGAATTCATAATTATGATATAAAATAATCATGATCAATTGTTACAAATTTTATATCGTTAAAAAGCATTGGAATAAAAAGACTATAATAGACATGAAAATTTAACTTTCAAATACATATTTAGGAATGTGCAATAGTGATATTAATCGACCGGCTGATTTTAGACACGAGAAAATTCTTGCATAACTATCATCCACCATGCATATACATACATATGTAGGAATGATATTGGAGTTAGCTTAAACTTAAACTACATATCACCGGTTAGAAATGCGTAATCAGTGTTAAAAGCTCACGGTCTGTTGATGCTTGTATTCGGCGCTGCGGTCATTTCCTATATATAATTGTAAAACGTTTCTGTGCGCGCGATGCTAATTTAAATCGAACTTAATTATTTCAGCGAGTAACGATACTGTCTCTGTTTTTATCATGACTGATCATATTTTCTCTCAAAATTGTATAATCACTTGATTGCATGTGATTTATATTTTTTTAACAATGACTAGTGTCAAGGTCAAGATTTAGAAGTCAAGATATTTTGTTGAGACTAAAGAATTTCTAGTTGGTATTATTATGCAATAATATATATTAGAAACATATAGAAATTATATTTATATAAACTAATGATTAATAATATGAATAATATCTGAAAAATTTGCCAAGTTGTAACATGTTCAGAAATTTTCGCGCATGCGTTGATAAGTATAGTAATCGCAATTAGAATTTGATGAAACTAAGAATCGCTTATTGTACATTTATTTAATAGAATTAGAATAACTAGTTCATAGAATTTGGTGATTATATCTAGTGAAAATTTTTGAACATACAGTTTGGTATTAAATAAAGTAAAATACACAATGGTTTGCAGCTATAAGAGCTAGTAATAATACAGCGTTATTCGAACTTCGAACCTGTAAATTATTATGTAGTTTCATCAGAATTGCGAGACTATCTTGAGATCGATTGTTCTATAATAGTTTTTTTTAAAGCTTGAATTCATTTTATTGTATTTTTTAATATCTAGTCAAATCCTTTTTTTCAGTTTATAGTCTTTTTTTTCTTTCGTCAAAATTATCTTACGCTTAAATAATTATTAGTAGTAGATTGAAAAAGATTATTATTATCATGATTCATGATCGAAACATAATTTATACTGTCATATACATAGAGCATTATTGTTTAATACATGATCAATATACATTTATGTTATGCAAATTTTATTATTTATACCTAGATGTTAGTTGCAATATGTACATTTATTTTACATTCTTTATTTGTTTTATAATTGTCTGTTATACTACTTTTTTTATTTCATAATAATCTTAGAAAATCCTTTAAATGCTTAGATTATGCAACAGATAAACTTCCACCAGCTTTAGAAATTTTAGCAATCTCTTCTTTAAATTTAGCAATTGTTTCCTTTGCTAAGGTTAATTTTTCCTTAAATTCTATGACTTCCAATCTTATTTTGTTTCTTGCTTCTATTATTGCTTTCATTGTAGACTCCTTTTTGGCTTCAACTGCATAACAGAATAAAAATAATTTTCATATATGTATATTAAATCATTAATTTAAATAAAATGACTATATACAATCTGTATTATGGCGCCAAACACCAAAAGTTGTAGGTTTACTGGAGTTCAGTAAATGTTGCATTAAAGCTGTTGGATCTTGGAAAACTATTTCTTCATAAAACTCGGACACTAAGCTCTTTTTCCCTAGTTGTATCTCAGGTGTTGTTTGGAACAGTTTTAATATATGATATATAGTTACCTATTTAGAATATAAATAATTTCAATAAATTTGCATGATTGATATGCTTAGAATTATAAAAAATCTACTTACAGGACGTTCATTAGGGTCATGAAAATAAATTTTAATTACAATTTCAAATTCTCCCCAACCAGTTTCACTGAGTTCATAGGGAGCTTTGGTCATAATACGATTTGGATTGTTGTAACTTTCATGTAATTTAAAGTGAACTTTTTTGACATATGTAGACATGTCTTCATTATGATATGGTTTAACATAAACTGTCCATTGATGTGTATGGCCATCTTCTTCCCTTTTTTTACCAAAATAACGGGCTATATTGCCATACACAATTGGTTTCACTATCGTAACACCCTGGTTCAATAAAATTTAAATAATTATTTTTCATTCTTCTTCAACTTTACAATAAATACTCGAATAATTGTTATTTTAATTACTATTACGTTACATTTGTTTGTTGCTTTTTTCTACATGTATAGGTTAGGAACATAAAAGTGCATCGAACTTTTCACACTATTTAAAGGAAATATACCTTAACTCTACCACCAGAGTCAGGGCCAAATTCGTTAGTTGTTGCCATCATCCTGATTAGTTGTCCTGTTCATTACATAAAGACAAAATATTGGAAAATATCAACTAAGTGACATTACTGCCGATAATTTCAACGCTACCTAGTTTACACTAGCGCTATCTGGCATGACGCTAAACATTCAACACGCTTTTATTATAGAAAAGAACATTTTTTTGCGCATTTTTTATAATGCAATAAAAATATAAGGACGCAATTAAATGTTTAACATTTATATTAATCTTAGACGCAAAGATGGGTTGAAATTAAAAAACAGAGTATACTGTTTTCAAGTAAATGTATTTTTTCTCATCGTGAAGGGTATTAAAAAAATATGTACACTTCTCTTAAAATAAATTACACTTCGAAAAGTTCTTGATTTTCCACACAGCATAATCTTCTTGACAAAAATATTTTGGAATCTATTTCCTAATACCAGTAACTAGATTATCGTATGAGATAAATTTTTGAAATATAACATGATTCTCGCTCGGCACGATAGTTTCCGTAGAAGATTAAAGACAGCTGTTTCCTAATCGATAATATATGCAACTTGATAAGTTCATAATCGCCAGAATATGTTAGTATTAATAAAACATTTCTATAAAATACATAAACGTCATTATATAACCACTATGTATGTTAGAAATACCTGCGGGGATTGATTTTTTCTTTCTTTCCTATCGACGATTTACAAACAACACGAAATATATAACAAATCGAGAAGTTAAACATGTTTAATACGATACTATTTTTTAAATATAATACTCAAAATATAGATATAGGATTTTAGATATCAGGAAACTCAGTATCAGAACAAATTTACGTATGTGGTTACATATGCATTTAAGTTTCATAGGATTCTCTCCGTGATTTCGATTACATACAAACATCTGTATTTCGTCACAAGTCAAAATTTGTCACATTTTAACGCTACACTAGCATACGGCACGTATTAGAAAATCGACAGAATAGAAAGGAACCCTTTGATCACGTAATTCGTATAGAAATAATGTCGGATGATATCAGACATATTTCGTATATATTTGATTAAAATAAGGAGTTAAATGGATGCACGTTGCATCGGACGTATAAAGGCAGCCAGCTGCCAAAAGAATGCGTCTTCAGCACCTCGTAACGACGATTAGAATTAGCTCTGTCGTGCTACAATGTTGTCGTTATCAGGTGCGAGGCAATTTTTCTTTCCTTCGGAATTGTTCCTCTAGATATCCCGGGATCTGAAAAGAGTTTATACAACGACCGTTATATCGTTTAGACAATGGTTTGTAGCCATATACTAAGCATCAGCTACTACATATCTACTCCATCTAAATGAACAGAGATGTAAAAAGTAATTCGCACAAAATAATTAAGCAGGTTTTAATAATAACTCTTATAGTCACGTCGTACCGTTAAAACATATATATACATATACTTTATTTCCAGAACACTTATTCACTACGACGATCAATAAAACGAACAACGTTTCACTCGAGTAAATAATTTACCATAAAATATACGATTTGTTAAACAAACTGGACCATAAATGCAATCCTTCTGTGTGCTTTACGATGACGATAATTACAAATATATACAGGCTACTGTGACATCAAATATAACACTAAAATTGACATCTACGTGCGTGATACTACATCTCACATTGTTTATTACCCATACTATTCTAACAGAAAAATACATGCAACGCACTGTTTAATATACAAAGCTTAGAATTGGATGACATTTAGGACACATTAAATTAAGATTAGATACGAGGAAGTAGTCCCAATCCACTAATGGTCAGGCATTCTGAGAACATTAAAACATAAGAAACTTAAGGAATCGAGGTATTTTATTATGAGTAAGCAAAATAAGAGTGTGTCAATTTTTTCTTATTCTTTCTCTTTTGTTTCTGCTCGGCATACGGATGTATTTACAAGGAAGGAAAAAGAAACAATTGCTACTAGTAAATTGTGATCATTTTTACCTTTGGTTTTGGTCGATGAGTGTTCACTGCATCGATTGGTAATCGAATGTGTTCCACTTTACAGCCATAGGCAACTGGCGTTAATTTAATAATAGTATGTAGTGGCACTTGTAAATATGGTAATTCATCTGGAAGGAGACAAATATGATCAAAATTATTTTGTAAAGTGAAAAAAGAATAGAATCTTTGAATCACATAAATTACAGTAAGAAAAATAATGTCATGAGAAAAGATAAATATTATTTACTCATCAAATAATGGTTTGAAGTATAAGATAGATTACGTATGTATTCGACGCGTATGAAATTGATTAAACTACTCGCAATTTATGGAAATAAAATTATGTAAACAAGAACGACGGGTATCTTGGACTTCCGTCATACGTATAATTTCGTCACTCCCGATATCTCACTCTTTGCATACATATCTATTTTGTTCAGTTCATTTCGATACGTCGAAGATCCAAAGTTATACAACTTCGATATTTCCTGTTCAAGTATACATACGTTTATGTCGTATAACTATGATTTCTGTATTTACGATGTGGATGCATCTTATTCATCTTTTATTAATTTGATTAAGCAGTCGTTCTGATAAAGATATCTTCTCTCAATTATTTATATACTAATATCAACCATATAAATAAAATATTTGGAAATAAAGATATTTACCCGCACTTTTGTCTAGGAAGTAAGCAAATAGACATCGCAAAACTGCTTGGTGGCTAACAACCAAAACATTACCCTGTCGTTCTAATTCCATTATCACTGGTTCCAATCGCGCGACCAGATCTTCGTAACTTTCCCCTCTCGGATAACGATACGAGAATTTATTTTGATCTCTCGCGGCAAAGTCTGTCGGATACTTTTCTGCGATTTCTTCATAAGACATTTCTTCACAAATACCCTGTGCATAAATATGGTTTAATTATTATCATAAATAATTTTATATGCGAATATTTTTTTTGTCATTCAATAACTTTTATTATATATAAAGTAAATATTTTATTGACCCCAATTACGGTTTACAGGGTACAAAGAAGGCCATCTTTTATTAGTCCAACGTTAATCAAACATTTAAAAAGGAATTTTGAACAATAAAGTGTAAGAAACAATACTTTTTCATTCTATTTAAAACCATCTGATAAATTTTTATTGAAAACGGAAGTAATTAATTATTTCTCAGTTTACCGCGTCAATCTCATTTAACGCTTTCCA